ATAAGGGGTTGAATAAACCAGTAACGATTTTGAGAAGCAGATTATTTAATATTACCGACATTAAGTCTACAGAAGATGAATACAAATCCTAAAAAAAACCACTTTCTTGCATTTGGGGGTATACTCTCGCTACGTTGTTGTTCTGTTCGAGAATTATTTTGACAAGGGATGCGAGTCTATCAATGCGAGTAAAAACAAGTCAATCAAACACAGGCAAACAAACGAAAWTTCTTTCTTTGCTTTCATTTTTCGCATAAATTTAGTTGATTTACCGTGGATTTTTAGCGCAAAGAAAACAAGTACTAATCCACTAAATGGGGCGGCGATAAAGTATTGCATAGAAAATTGAATCTAGCTTGTAGTRTTTATTATAAGGCAGTCAATAATTGCCTTTGTCGGCATCGTAAAATAAGAATTGTTTCCTTCCATTCTTGACTCTTTACCTGGCTCATAATTTGTTTCACTCTCAAAGTGACTGCCCATTCCATGATCAAAGGATCCCGGCTAAACTTAAAAGCGAATAATATGGTTAAAACATACGGTATACAAAGAGTTGATGTTGATAAATGAAAAGCCACAATGTTGTAGGCACCGCTAAGAGGCCAAGGGGGCCMTAGTCGGCCTGCATTGTCGAMTTAAAGAAAAAACCTAAATACAAACACCAAAGTTTGCATTTGTGAGTTAGCTGTAAACCACAAAAGAAAAATATTTAAGCTTTTAGTATAGTATGCAAGTGGATTTTGGCTTTGATATCCCATTTGCCGGCGATGCTTTTGAGTCGGACACGTGAACGCCCTCCATATCATCACTCTGATTGTTATATTGCCTTAATCTCGATTCGTTCAATACCAGCGCGTTCTATCTTTCGAAGAATAAATTAATTTTCTACTGGAATATTGCTTGAGTTTTTCATATACGAAGAACAAATTTCATTTTTGAAATTTTTTTAACAGTTTCTCAGTAGATCCTATAATCCCTGCAAATGCTCGTGTTTTTGTCGCATACTTTCTTTTAATTAGGTGGTGTTTTCATTCCTGAAAAAAATAGGCTAAGATGACGAAAAAAAAAACGCTATGTGGACACATTGTATTGATGACATATCAGTTTCCTTCTTTTTTTCAAAATTATGTAGACATATAATAGAAATAATCATTTTTGTCTTCCATTGGAAAATGAGAAATGTCAAAACATGATCTGATWAAATGAGCCAGCTTTTTTTCTTCATATTACTTCATTTTGCGATAAAAATATTAATRAACACAAAATATGGTCGCTGCTAATAAAATCAACGGGAACAGAGAGAATTATTGACCTGCCGCATAAAATCTCCTCCCCACCCTACCCCAAAGCCAGCCCTCTTTGTGTTTCTTTCGCAAATATGTCATTCCTCGGCGACATTTTCATTTCTCTAAACCCAAAAAGCCTAAAAAACAATGGATCCGTAYMAGTATTCGGTGTGTTCAATGAATTTTCTTTATTTTTCGTTTAAAAATAATGTATATAGCAAGTTGAGGTGATGCGGAGATGGCGTGGGTGATGGGTTTAGTTATCAAGCTCAACCTTTTACAAATGCCGACATGAGACTGTAAGTCACCACATTCTAAAGCGATTGGAAGGACGACACAACCTTCCACGGCATTAGACCGACGTAAAAAACCCATCAGATCAAAGTGTAGGGCTACTTCTCGTCTTCAAACATGATTAAATTATTTATTTTCCAACGAGACCCGATAGCGCCAAGCGCAGACATTACTCGCGTTACGCAGCTGAGAGGACGGTTCAATTACAGCTTTATCTGGTCGAAAATTGCCCTAAATTGGACTCAACCGAGAGTTCAAACGCTGCCGCCTCAATTACAAATGCGAATTTAAAGCACGAAGCTTTTTTAATAGCATCTAAATGTCTATTTGGGTCAGGTCCATTTGACAACCCTTCGAACTTCGTAATAGCTTTTAAAGGGAGTTCAAGATAAGTTTACTCGCAAATTAATTCGCAAAAACACAGAGCTATCACAGCAGTAAACAAAGTCGAAAAGAAAAATCCCTTTTTTGTCAGGCGATTTGATACGATCTTTGGAATTGAGGGAACAGGAAGAAAACTGCCGAACAGATCGCGATAGTAAGCGAAGCGAAAAGTTGACTATATTTATCGGAATAAACAATTTTGTCTCGGTTAAGTCAAGGGAAAAGATTGAGCTCGAATTGGGCCGCGAAATCATTGTGAAATTATCATCACAACCGATGGAGGCGGAGAAGTTGTGCGCAACACCTTGGCACAAGTAACCAAAATTGCGCGAAAAATCAACTTTATTAAAGACTTGTGTTTTGTAAAAACAATGTTTAGCCAACTACGTGATCTTGTAAGGCGAGCGGTGTATGTACCAAAAATGTTTCTGATTAGTAAAAAAAACCTATGAATTTACCACTTGTAAAACGAGAAACCATTTACATGAATTTAGAAAGAGTAGGGCGGCGAACTAAAGGGATAAACATGAAGAATCACAACCCCAAATTGACGTTGATTTGGAGCCAAAGAGGTTTTCAGTTTTCAGTAACTTACTTATCTCTTTCGGGCATGAAACTGGAATTATCTAATCGGGTTTGAAAATTGCCCTTTGGGCTAAAATGGCAGGCAAATGTTTTAGCGGCAAACTTTAAAGGATAGCGCTTGCCTCTTACGATCGATGGTAACCTGTTAGGGGGGCATTTGGAGAAAGTAGGAATTAGTAATAGGGCCAAACAAACAGTCTTTTAGTCGCGGCACGTTCGTAAATTCATTTCTTGGTGGTCTGCTGTCATATTCAACTTTCTGTGTTCGCTTTTTCAGCWAACACACGATCCCGCAACATCGTTTTTATCAAAGAATAAGACGAATTACTAGTGATAACAACTTTGGGGGCGTTTGAACATCTCTGGCTTGTATGTAAACAAATACTTTTATTTGCTTTTCTATCTCTGAATGTTTTTCCTGCATTTGCCGTTTCCAAGGTAGCAGCTCTTGGATTCTTGCAGTTTTGCATGCTCTTTACCACTAAATTAGTTGAAAAGATGCCTTACAATTCTATCATAAACGCATCACAAGACTTATCCCCTCAGTGATTACTAATTCACGCTTTTGACAAAACGTACAAAAGCAGATTTTGGTATTCCTTTTGAACTAGCCGCTTGACAAGACTTTCAGTCATTAAGAATTCCATGCTAATTCAGATAAGCCAACCGCTTAATGTTATGTACCACAACACAAATTTGTCCTTGGAAGCAATCTTATGGGGGTACTTTGGAGGATTTACTGCCAAACAACAGATTTTTATGAATATTTTTGGAGGTTTTAGCGATATTTCCATTGACTTTAGTAGATAGAAATGGCTTGTTCTAAGCGTTGTGTATTCCCTAATTGACGTAGTTAGCAAGACAATGCGGTATTTGGCGAAGATTGGATAATTCTGCTCTTCGAAACGCAGTAAATTATTGACAGGAGCCCCCGTTGGTTTAGGCACCACGCTGGCGGGGCTGTTCGAGCGGTCGATATCTATATTTTCCCAATTCTCGGCATGAAGTTAGCACTAGAGACAAGTTAAGAACACAGCCGGAATCAAGCGAACAATTCTCAGTAAAAATKGATAATATATTTACTGTCTTGAGGAMMTTAGCTATGGWTGCGCGRAGAGTGAAATATTAGTCGAATTAAACGGGTTAACACAGTCTCCAAGAAGTTGACGTATGTCTGTAAACGATTTTACTATTTTACAAATTATGTAATCATGTCATAACCGTCTAGTTGGACCTCGCATAAACAAACTCACAAAACAAAGCGGCTCTATCGAGTTTATTCGTTCTAAATACTAACCGTTCGGCCACCCAAACTGTAAAGGCCGTCCGCGCTAAAAAGTACTTGAGAAATGCAACTTCAAACAAGTGAAAAAAAAAAAAGACACGAATACTTAAATCGCTTGAATAGATGTATTTCCGAGACCCTAAAACCCAGCAATAATATCAATAACCTTAAGATAGAGAGTTATACATCACCAGTGTTTTTCACTATACAATCACAGCAAGGGTGCCAATAGCTTGTTAATGGTTAGTTAAGGAAATTGGTCGAAATTGATCTCACATTTCAAAGGGCACCGACAAATCCAAACCAAAATAGCCATGATAATTGGCCGTGAAAATTTCAACTCGACGAAGAAAAACGKCTCCAAACGACTGCCAAAGCGTTTAGAGGGTGTAATAAATTTGTTTGACTCGAAGAAATACAAGTTGTAATCCGATTTTGGCCTTGATTGGCATGAATACCGAGGCCCTTATTGAGAGGTGGTCCTTGAGGCGGCGACCGTGGGCGGGCTTGTAATTAGTGAGTTGTGACCCAGCTTGGAGTTAACCTATACTCGACAGTACCACTCGCACGTTCACCATAAATGCGACATTAAAATCGTGCTCGAGAACTATTGAACGAGTAAATGTCCCCGTGATGTTGTTCTGCTGAACAAGACCGGAAAACGCTGATCAACTCGAGAGTTTCACACTGTCATTGATTTGTTACGAAGTAAACAGAGTCGCAAGCGCTTAAAATGAATGGCAATACGAGGTCGGAACGATGAAAGACTCTGTGTTAACACCTCGAGCGAAGGAAACTCACAACCATTGGCCTCGTGTATTCGAATCCCAATTGTCCAAGTCTTGTAACATACACAATAGTCTGTTTGCGCCGCTGAGATGTGTATTGAGCCTCTTTTCTCATTTAAATCGAGGCGGCGTCTTTGCTGTAAAATGACAGCACTTGTAAGGCTGATGACAATAACGCAGAACGATAGCGGAAAACACACAAGAACAAAACCGATGATTTTGCTTCAAGTGCTTTCATACATTCTGTTTATACAAGATCAACCAATCAATGGGCCTCGTTAGCGGCGGCCGGCTTTGATCATCGAAATCCAATCATAAAATGTCTCTTCTTTTGATTTTGCTCATTAGTTCGCCGCCCTTATACTCCTCCCTTGTCATGTCTGATAATAGCGACTTATTTGCCATAACAGCATTTGTGTGAGAACAGTATAAGCTAGGATCTCCGCCTCTTGTTTTTCATTGGCTGGCGGCACTCTTTGTCTAATTACATTTGGTCTATTTTCTCCGGCACCGGCTCGTCAACCAGCTGAATCATTTTGTACGTMTAGTGAAAACAGGTTCATTTGAGACTGACTTCCAACACGAACAGATCGCGTCTCTCTWCATCTCTGTTCGTGAAATACTCGATATTTACATCAAAATGGCAACAGCCGCTCTAGTGAAGCCCGAGATCTTTCAATTTCCACACGTAAGTTTGTGTAGTTTTTTTTGACACGAATCAATCGACTACGCGAGTCAATATTATTGTACGTTAAGCCGAATATTTTTGAAAATGTTGTATCTKATACTGTAATGTTTTGGGTTTACAGGGGTTCTCGAAGTCTTCGCCATTAGCTCTTCTAGCAGCAACTTGTAGTAAAATTGGACAACCAAACAGCGCTGTTATGGACTTAGCAGACTATCATAGTAAACTTTACAACTCCATGCTCCAGGACCAACACGCAATGAGCTTACAGAATCAACTAGCTACCTTCCAGGAAAGAAGTCCGCTYCCTTTGACTCCCCCAGCYGAACCACACTTTGCTCCTTCGTACACTGAATTCTGTTATAACGCAGTGCAAAAGCCTCATCTACAAGGAATACCGTTTCATCACGGCCCGCCGTCACACGCAGGCAGCTCGATTTGTATGTCAGCCCACGGTCATGGTTGTCCAGTATCAGTGGCAAGGCCAACGTACTCACAGTGCACTGCGTCTTTCAAACCTGAACGAGCCGAGYCTCCTCAACACTGGTGGAGTGTCGAACCAAACAAAGTTCCTCGTTCACCGATTGCACCAGGAATGCCWGGGTCTCCAACGGGACACAGCTTTGCGTTTCACAGTCTGCAAGGCCCTGGTAGTACAGGCTCGTATCACAGTGCCTTTACATCAACTTTTGCGGCAGGATCGCAAGTCGCGGGAACACGGAGATGTAGACGTTGCCGTTGTCCAAACTGCCAACTTGCTGCGACCACGGGAAATACAACCAAGCGAAAACAACATATCTGTCATATACCAGGATGTGGTAAAGTTTATGGAAAAACTTCGCATTTAAAGGCTCATTTGAGATGGCATACTGGAGAGAGACCGTTTGTATGTAATTGGTTGTTCTGCGGAAAAAGTTTTACCCGATCTGACGAACTTCAGAGACATCTACGAACCCACACAGGAGAAAAACGATTTCAGTGCGACGAGTGTGGAAAACGATTCATGAGAAGTGACCACCTCAGAAAACATCAAAAAACACACCAGAATATGGTCAAGAAAACGGACAAACCTYAAAGCAGTGTAGAACATTATTCTAAACCATTGACTGTGAATGTATCGGAAGCGAATAAAGTTAATCAGCTAAACAGTGTGATGGCTTTAACACCAAAGGAAGAAGAAAATGACAAAATGGGAACGCAAGTGGATTGTTTTATCAACGTAGAACACTAGGACAGAACTATCTTCTCAAGTGAAATTTCACTGGGATAAATATCAATGCAATACCAAACGAAATTCATTGTAAATATACACAGCGTGTGAATAGACTACTGGGATCTATGTAGAGTAATATATGTATAAAATACAAAAAAGGTTTACGAATTAATTTAGAAATTTAGTGTGCTGTGCATACTGCGAGTATAGGTACAACTTTATATTTCAAAAATTCTTTAATTCAACTATACACTCCCAGTGTAAAGAATCATGAATAATGTTTTTTCAGAATAAACATTTGTTTCTTAGTAAGCTGGAAGTTGATGGTCCATGTCTTGCGCTTTCAGCTTTGCTGACGATCGTGAATAGCGCCGGCTTTTTTGAAGTTTGAATTCTTTATTCTTATTGCATACGAAGCATTAGGACACTTACAAAGAAGTATAGCATTAGAATTTTTCTTTGTCTTGTAATTGCACTGTTCGGCTATACAGTTTAAGACGTGTGATTTAATTGTAATGGAAGGTACAGATCGTTTGGATACTATTGTTAGCTTTTACAAACTGCTGAAGATCCTTCGAAGGCGGTCTCTTTGACAAACTTGTTTACCGAAATATGGCGATATTAGCAATTAGTGGAAGACTCCTAATTGCGAGGGTTGAACTTCGTCCCTCGATGTTTTAGGCTCCCTGGTTGCTTCTAAAATTCAAGCTTTAGAACTTAGACGGCCTATGGATGAAAAGCAACGGGGTTTAACTCGAGTAAAAGGTATCACACCTTGACTTAGAGTTGGTTTCGCCTCAGGGTATTGATACAAAACATTCAAYAAATGCTAAAACATCATAGCAAACATTTTTTTGCGGACTAGAAAAGATGTCTGAGGCTTGCCGTGTTTTCCAACTCCAGTTTGGCTTGCGGTTAGCCTAATGGAGTGACACRACTTTCGTTGCAATGAATTTGGTCGGCATCTTCAAACGTCCAAAGAAACCGCGACTAAACTTTGCCTCTAGCGTTTCACGGGCTATTAGCCTTTTTTCGTTTCCTCTAGACTGTACTACTTCAGTATTTGTTCAAAACGACACGCTAAGCTAACTCGCTGAGTCTCTGTTACTAGTCGAAAAACAGGTAACCATCAAACAAACAGCGATTCAAATACGAGAACGCTCAAAGAAAAATAGCTTTCTACTGAAACGACTGGTTCCTTCAAGCTAATCCACTCTTTGTATACTCATTCTGGATTGGTCATCAAATGGAAATCTTTTTTTCGAATCTTTACTTGGTATTTCGAGAACAGTCGGATCAACAGCTTGAAAGCCGCTATCAATCCAGTCTTTCTGAACAAATGATCATTTTTAGACAGACCTGTTGGTAAACCGATAGAAGATTTACAGTGTAATATAGCTAGAAAATCTATGAAAAAACAACAGATTATGAATCTGATAACTAAATTAGTCCTACCCTTAGTCATTTATCCCTATTTAACAATAGAACTCCATGCATCGTTTGTGTGCTTAAATATATTTTAAATGTTCTGAGAAACTGTTTGGATATTACATGCCTTTACCCTTACAAAGATACTTTTTAATAACATAGCTATCTTTCACYGAAATTGATCAGAAATGAATACAGTTTGAACTGAACTAGCTCTTCGACATTATAGTAATTCATGATGCTACTTTATTTGAACAAGGAAAGCTCTACAACCCAAATACTTTTACTACTAAAGGGAATTACACTATCGCAACCTTCAAATCAGAAGTGGCAACCAAATTTGACATATATACATAATATATATTTTCTTCTTTGGAGCGTTAAGYGTTTGGATTAGCTCTAAAATACAGCGGATGATAATTTCAGTAAAAAATCCCTAGTATAATACCTAGAATCCATTGGGACCTGTAATTATCCAAGCACTCCAATGTCAACTCGCCTACTAACCTAATTGAAGGTTTCTTTTGTTTGTTTTCAACTTTGCCGACCTTTCACAAAATGCTTTCTCACAAAATGATGGACGGTTGACAGAATGGGAAGCCTGTATCAGGCTAGATGGATGGGAAGCACGTTGCGCGGGCTAGAGACCAACTAACGASKCTCGTGCACCTGCACCAGTGAAAAGAGTATCATTTATCAGAGTTTGTACAATAAAAACTATATAGAGACACTGGTACACCCTTCAGCAAGAGCTAAACCGACCAGAGAGGCAACAAATATAAGGACCGCTCAGTATCAAAGTATAAAGAGTAAGCCCAAGTGCGTCTTCGCCACGTCCGGCGATTCTTAAAATATCAATTTATTATATAAAAGGGTAGGTTGGTTAAGCTAAAGCCCCGTCATAAGGCTCCTAAAATAAACAACTTACTGCTACAAAAGGTTTGTGGCCGGTGGTACATCCGCGCACGTCAGATGTCACTCAGAGAGGGCTCATTTGGACATGTTTTCTGCGCCAGTTTTTGTGTTACGGATATTAAATTTACTTCATTTTTACAATCGTCCAACATAACTGTCATAACCCTAGAACAGTAAGTAATTTTCAAACGATTCCAACACTAATTAACGAAGCACAATGAACTGTAAAAATATCAGTTGAAGCATAAAGCTCGCCGCTCTGCGTGTGGCAGTCGGGTGCGCGCTACAGCTGCAATTACATCTAAGTGAATACAAAATTCGAACTACAGACGAAGTGSACCAGAAACGACAACTGAAAGGCGCCATTTTTGTTCTCTCTAACTCTTTGTCAAATGTGTAGGATTTGATTATTCACCTCCCTGTGGAGTTGGGCGGTGATATTTAGGCTTAACATACGTAACCCAAGCGCTGAAAACCGCTAGGGTTCCTCCTCTGGCTTTGTTCATTGTTGATTGTAAATGATATGCCATGCTGAGAATTTTTATGAAAGGTTTAGCTGAGCATTTTATAACACAGCACCAAAACAAACTCTTTGTTTCGTAGCGTTTTTGCAAACCTTAATATCTTGAGCCGTTCTTGCTTAATTCAGCGTCATTATTCGTCGGAGTCTTTCATATTATGATATTAATTACACTTTTTTATTTCGAAACATTACCGAAAAATTAATGACATTATGTTCACATTTTTGTCAATCTGCGTGTCAATTTTGAATTCAAATTCTCTTAATTCTTTGTTTTTATACATTGGGTCATCTTTTCATTTGATTCAGATAGCGGCCGTCTTTGTAATGAATTTATACGAAAACGAACCCGGCAGAAAAATGTTCACCATCACGAAATCAAAGACAAGTTGGATAGGGGTATAGGCTGCGAATCGATAAACCAAAATGGCGGACACAAAGAAGTTCACCAGCTATGTTTTATAAAGCAAACTTCCAATTACCTTCATTGAAAATAAAGACTTTATAAAAGTAGAGATTACATATTACGAAGCATTTACTCTAGTCGTTGGCAAATACACTTCAAAACTTTCTCGAATTGAGTACTTGGTCCTGTGTTATATTCAGTTTTTTCATAGTTGCTCCTTTGTATTTTCAGTAGTGAAAACAGAAGATATTAAATAAACTAAAATTGATATTCTTTTAATCTTTAAGAAACATTTCAAGTTTTAATAAAAGAAGTTTTTAATAGTAGCTCTTTCATATTGTCATTGAAACACCCAAATGACTACAGACCAGGCCCGGAAAATGAAAGTACAACCTCCTAACAATGGCGAGGCCAGCCCAACTGGAGTAGATGAAATCACAAGTRATTTTAGTGATTAATTTGTAAGTATATGGACTCTTCACTGCATCGGCTTATAGWGATTGGTACTTCAATAAGCCTTTGAACCGAAACGAAGGGTTTGAGCACTTGTCAGTGATATCTTTTACTCCATACAAGTTAATTTGAAGTCACGACACACTTGAAACATTGACATGATTTATATCCTACTTGTAAAGTACTTGTAGACAGTCTCAATCCGTTTGAAAACGAAACTGCAATATCGAGCATTTGTGCATAATGATTTATTAGAAAATTACAAAAAGAAAATGACGCTTAGAAATTCGGAGTGGTATAGAGATTTAAACGAACAGGCTTACAAGTGCTTGTTGCTAAGAGTGATACGATAAGAATCTAAGGCAATAAGCTTTTCAATTCAGACAAAACGTTAGATAAACCGTTCAGAAGTGTTAACACACAATTTTTAACTGTCAACAATCACAAAGAAGAAAATTTGTAAATAAATCAATTGAAAAAGCTGTTAAAACGATATTTAGATCGCATAAGTACTTCATTTATAATGGGCCCACAATGAATAGCATCGAACTATCAAAAACTGATTCACAGCGAACTACTGGTTAAATTGAATTCAAGTGTCATTTTATTGAGTTGTAAGTTTTTATCGCATTCGAGTTTAGCTGTCTTTTGATAAAAGCAACAAAAACTTTGGCACTTTTTGACTTGAACTGATAATACTGCGGCTCAGATTATCTGCTGAAAATAAATTTGAAAACGAGCAAATGACAAAACTGAAGGATTTCTTGTAGATCTAACCTGATATATAAAGATATATAAACTTATAAAAATGCAGTACAACATGGTTATAAAGTGTACATTATTTCGGAAGGCCGCTACCTCCTTTTATCAGGTGTAAGTGGAAATTTCCATAGGTTACTGTTTTAAGTAACTTTCTTTYCACCTGTAAACATTTTTGTACTTTTAGATTAGAGATTCTTCTTGAAATAAAACCTAATAAAACTTTTTCTATAACGAACTGGATTCTGAGTTCGAAAATAGAACTATCTCATGCATGATCTCCACCCAAATTACTAATGTCCACTTTTTTAAAACTTAAAAAATCCAAAATACATTATTAAACATTTGCATTTAGTTCAATATGAATCGATCACTTACAGCGTTTTTTAATATTTTTCAGCCTTCTGTGGTTAGAAATATTCTTTTATTACTTTTTTCAACTGAAAACAGAATAGAAACTTCCGTTGATAATCTTTTCTAAAAATCTCGATTACAAGAAGTCATTTTAATTGAAAACAATAAAAGTGAATAACAATTAATTTCTTTTATATTATTATTTTTACTTAGCAGAATAGACCGGTTTTAGCAATAGGACTAAGAGCATCTGAAATTAGCTGAGAATAGCACAAGTTTGCAAGCTACTACCACTGATCTACTTCATTATTTGTTTTTTTAACTTACACTGGTGAAACTTTGCTGGTAACATATTAATTTAAAAAAAATMTTCTAAATAATTCTTGGAAATTGAGGATGGATACCTTCAAAATGAAACTTTTTAATCTAAATACATCCATTTTCAAGAAAAACAAACATATTTTTTTCCATTTTAAA